TTTTTTTATTATAAAATAAAATCTTGTTTCCCCCCCCAAGCAGCATTCTACCATAGAAAAAGACTGGTTTTTGTGATGTAATTCAGTTTTTATTAAATTAATCCCAATCCAAAACACAAATGTATTGCCCAAAGTAAAATATACTTCCTATTTCAAAAGCCAGATTAAATTCTATAAATTATATTCCCTAAATGCATGAAGGGATAACCTAAACTAATGCACTAAATTCACTTTCATACAAAGTTTTTTTTTAATCAATGAATATAGATCATACATTTTCTACTAAATCACTCCAGTTCATTTTCTGTTCTTAAGTCTTGCTGCCGCTCGTAGTGTATTTTTGTCATGACAACTTCTTGCCCAATTTCAGTGGTAGGTATTTATTTACTACCTCTGGATAAATTTCAGAACAGAAGGACATAAACCTAGCATGAAAAATCAGGGAAACTAAAAATTTAAATCTACTATCCCTTTTTTTTCAAGGAAAGGAAAAGATATTCAGTAAAATGGGTTCTAACACTGGGTTGTGACCCTCATAAGATTGTGAATAAAACTTGCTCCATTCAGAGCTGGATTTGGCAAATATTTACCGGGAGCTGGACCAGGCTGCCCACAGAATCCAAATGCCCAAATTCTCAGGAGCTCTTGCAATGCCCCCAATTCTGAATGCTGTGCAATGGGACTTGGCCAGGATCAAGGCATCCCTGCCTAGTCTTAACCTGAGTAGCTTTTCCTGATGGTTCTATGCTGAATCCTGATACCTCCCATCCATAAGGCCTACTGGTTAAGCTGCCTGGAACAGCCACTAAAACAGCATGATGCCTCAGGCGAAGAACCACTTTGGAAGAAGATAAACTGAGGCTAGGCAAGAAAAAATGTTCCAGTTCTGCCTGGATCAACTTGGGCAGCATTTTGAAGTAAATTGGGGTGATTTCAGGAACTGGTGAGTGCAGAAGTTATTGAAATAAAGCTCAAACCCAGAGTTCTGACAATGATCCAGCTTTAGGTATNATAGTTTATTATACAGGTAGTCCTCAACTTATTAGTGACTGTTCAAAGTTACAACAACATTGAAAAAAGTGACTGATGTCCCTTTTACACACTTATGACCGTTGCAGCATCCCCATGGTCATGTGATTTACATTCGGATGCTTGACAACTTGACTCACATTTATGACAGTTGCAGTGTCCCGGGGTCATGCAATCCCCTTTTGAAACCTTCTGACAAGCAAAGTCAACGGGGAAGCTAAATTCACTTAACATTTGTGTTACTAATTTAACAACTGCGGCGATTCATTTAACAAATGTGGCTGGAAAAGTCGTAAAACGGGGCAAAATGTGCTTAACAAATTTCTCGCTTAGCAACACAAATTTTGGGCTCCATTGTGGTCGTAAGTTGAGGACTACTTGTATACCTAGCATATGCCTGGTTTGGAAATGGGGCAACAATTCAACTGTGTTTTTCTGAAGAGTATTTCTATTCTTACGGTATTATATAGCTCTTAGCTTTGAAAGATCCTTTTCTTTCAATCTACGTGGACTCTGTGTGGTGGTGTGTTTTCCTCTGCTGACTATGTACAATATTTTCCTTTCTTGAGAATGACCTGGCTGTCCTTTAAATTTTCTTCATTTTCACTAATGCTGTAAGCTGTCCTGAACATTGCTTCTTACTCTGGGGTTTTATATTTATTGCCAGTCGGTGCCAGATTACCTTTTTCTCACTAACTCATCCATGCATTTGTGGAGTTAACATCTTTCACAAGCACTTGCAGTTACTTGTCCATGTACTTCCACCAGTCATTTATTAACTGTTCAGGAAGCACTGTTATTTGTATAGCGTTGTTTCAGTGACAGCATTTTTTGCCTGTCAACCAATGAACCATATGCACTATTGATTTGAGTATGGTAATAATTCGTGTTGGAATTGCCATAGTCTTGAGCTGACTTAGAAGGGCCAATTCATATGCCGTATAGAAAATAGGAGGTAATCCATGCTTCAATCCGTGCGGTGCAATACATTTACCAGTGGAATCATTAACAGCATATTGTGGATTTCAATTTCTTCTCTGCATCCTTTCCTGATTTACAGTTTGTTCCCAACATAATCCAGTGCCGAAGCTGGCATATCTAAAGGATGGTCTATTTGCATATGAACATTTACATTCAACCACAGGAACTCCTGTCAGGAGCCGTAAAATGGTGTGATTCAACAGATGAGAATGTTTCAGAGAGCTTTCTTTGTGGCTGTGCATGAAATGTACATAGGAGCATCCTTGGGGGAAGAGAAGAGTGTCAACAATGTCAAATATGGCCACTGTGACCAGGCAGTCAAATCCCTACCCTTTCAACATCAATCCCATAAAGATATAGACCCTTGATTGCCTAATTGTGTCTGACATTTTGATGTTGGTCATGGCCCCTCCAGATGTCCCTGAATGTGGGCCTCCTTATCCTCAGATGGATGGCCTACTCCTTTGATGCTTTTCTCCATGCTGAACAAAACCCTGCATTGGCAATAGGAAGGGCATCCAGCCATTAAAACACTCTGCTAGCTCTACTCAGTTGCCCNCCCTTTTAATTAGAAGGAAGAATACTCTGGAATGAATATGCTAATGAAATCTGTTGCCGCTGGCATAAATTGAAATCAACCCCCCTCCCCCCTTTTGAACTGAACAGAAAGCTTTCGTTCTCCTTGCCATGGACGCAAATAAGCCTGGGATTTGTAATTTTTTTCTTCTTCTTCGAAAACCTTACCCCTCATCCCAGCCCTTAGAATAGTCCAGGATAAATTTTGGATGTCAGACCTTCGGTATTTGGAAGTGAAGAACCTAGCAAGTTAAAGCTAACAGCATGTCAGTACATCTTCATAACCTTATAGTGAGGAATTGAGACTAGATCTCTCCCTTCCTCCCTTTCTCTTTGAAGAAGGGTGAGTGATGCATGTATGAGAAGTTCTGCTGCAAAAATGACAGAGGCCAAATGGTAAGTAATTCAAGAAGAGGGTCCCTTTATGTACACACTGATAATTAATGTTGTCAGTGATTGCTTTCTTCAGCACTGAAGTCTGAATTAAAAAAGGCAGTGCCCTTAGGTTCCCATTAGCACACTCTCTTGCAGTAAGTGTTACGGTAAATTGGTATTTTCCAGCTATAGGCAAAGAGTTGGTGTCTTTGCTTCTTCCCATCCTCCCCTCAGTGTGATTAATCTGTAATGGAGTCAAATAATGTACACACACTAACGAAGCTTGAATGTTCATCTGTTAACAAGCCCCCTTGTTCCCACAGTGGTATTTGAGTCTAATGGACTCCGAGGTACTGAAGTTCACACCACCTCCGCAGATGCCCCAAAACAAGTATGTTTTACAATTAATTGGGTATTTGATTTTTAATGTGATAGTCGGGGGAAAAGAAAGTTACATGGAGATACTCATCAGTAAAGCACTCACTGTTTAGGTAGGAAGACAGTAAATAATAATCGTGCCTCTGTTTATTATATTTTTAAGAAAAAATGTATGGACACCCTTGTTCATATTGACTAGAAATTATGATCAGTGTATTGTGATTACCAGTCAAATGCTTATATTGAAATGGAGAATTTTTACACTGTGCACTGAACAATGCATATAATTATATTGTTTTCAAATAGATAGTTTATTATACAGGTAGTCCTCNTAGGACGGCTCTAATTTACCTGGAATTTGCCACTTGGGGAAGCCAGTGTGGTGATTTAATGAAAACAGAAGTTTGTTCACTTTTAGTCTCTGTGTCTGTTTCTTTCTATCCTTGTGATTATGGGCAATGAAACCAGCAGGTTGCTTCACTTCAGTATGAGTCACCATGGAGCATCCATGAGCTTTAATCCATACTTGTTACCCAAATTAATTTCGGAAACATCATATCATTCAATCACAAATCCCCTCAGATACTATAACATTTGGCTCTCTGCTTTTCTTGCTAGCCTTTTATCCTTCTTCTGGCCATTGTTAACCTTTCCTCAAGTACTCCTTCAGTCTCTTATTATTTGCTTATTCTAACGTAGCCTGGCGTTTATAGGAGCTTGATGGGGGTATTGCTTTCATCAGAGGTGATTAAAAATAATTCATTTTAATGGATTAGGTCACAGTAATATTTGTAATGCTCATAAAAAAAAGGTAGCTAGGGCCATTATAAATTATTAAATTGCTCAACTGCTTTAGTGCGCAGAGCAGGGGAAGCAGCTGCTATTATGGAAAATAAGAATAACAATGTGTTTGCTTTTTCTTCTTCTTGTCCCTCCCCCCCTCCCCTATTTAGGTGAGAGACCATTCCAATGCAGATATTGTCCGTACAGTGCCTCTCAGAAAGGGAACCTAAAAACGCATGTCCAGTGTGTACATCGGGTCCCCTTTGACAACAGCCAGTACCCTGACCTACGGTTCCCATCACCTCCAAATAATTACTCCATCAACCCTTTAGAAGGCCAGCTGGAAAACATCTTTACAATCTCTCCAGTCCCTGGAGCAACTGTGTTATAGCGAAGACTCCGGCTCCGTGCTTTGCTAGAAGAGTGATGTCTCTGAACTGTTAATCATTTTAAAATAAATGAAGACCCTACCCAAGATATATACAAATTGACATAGTAATCAGTCCCCACAGTTCCTTATTTCCTTTGTAATAAACAGAAGAGCTGGCAAGCTTTGGGGTAGTGCAAAGCATATATATTAATCAAGATAACATTTTTTTTTTTAGACACTGGAAAAAATTAAACGTCATATATTTGGAGGATGGCACTGCAACCAAATCTTCCCTCGTGGTGGGTTTGAAGTTTTATTTTTTATTTAAAAGGAAACACACACCCAGGGTGGATTTGGGAAATGCGGGAAGGAGTGATTAAGCAACTGTCACGCAACTTTGAAAACAAAAAACAAAAAGGAGGAAGGAAGGAAGGAGTCGTTCAGTGCTGTATAAGCCAAACTTGATGAAGGACAGAAGGGACAAAAGGGAGAGACCATCATTCTGCAGTGAGGTTGTTTCATGATAGTTTGGGGACCACTTCCATTTCCAGTGGGCTGATCCTTGACTGCACACCATTAATAGTACATGAATATGGAAATTGAAAACACTTCTTAAGAAATGCTTCTCTTCTCACTTTGGCAAGAAGAAGAAAAAAAACAGCTGGTCAAACACTAAGAAGAAAAAGAAAAAAAAGGCTTCTGTGTGTGTGGTTTTTTTTTTTTTTTTTGCTCCCCCTCTCAGGGCCTTCCTGTTTGTTTAATCTGCTTTTTCTTTCTTTTAAAATGCAGTTTTCCATGATCTATCACAAAGGAAGTATGCATGCTTTTAAAAATTAGATTAAAAAGGGGGGGACCCCTCCCAGCTTTTTAAAGCTGCTGATTGATACACTTATAATACATTTTAAAAACAGATGTTTAGGCATACTTCTGGTTTTACGATACTGGAGATGACTGCATTTCTGTGCAGCAAGACCAAGTACCTTTCATGGACCCTTCTAACCTTTTTTTTGCCGGGGGGGGGGTGTTCTCTTCTTTGTGATGGCAAGCTTCCCTAATCTAGTGTTTTCTAGATGAGCTGGAATTTCCCAGAAGATTCTAGAAAGCCTGGCTGTTGGCCATGGATGGCTTGGACTTCTGGGAAGTGCAAACTCAGCAAGTTTGATGGCACAGGGTGATTCGGCATGGTAGTCACTGGAGTAGCTGGGGGAGAAAAGGCGCTTTATATACCTCTTCTACAGTAACTTTTTAAAATGCAAGTTTTTAAAGGTAAGAGAAGCAGCAGGTTGTTCACACAGGGTCTTGTTCAAAAGTATATCCCACATGTACTTTTTCCTTCTCTTGCTATGACACTGTGTGACGGTAATAATTCAGAATTTCAGATTTTGCACATAAACAATTTTATGCATCATCATCGTCATCATCAAGAAAAAAAAATGCTGCCTTGAACATATTTGTGAATGTTTTTCTTTTGCAAAAAAAAAAAAAGCTTTACTAGTTTTTTTTTAATTGTAACATTTTTGTAAAGGCAGGAAATGGATTTTTAAAGAAAACTAGCATGCTAATTATATTTTTCAAAAAAAGCAATAATTTTACATGTACAGAAATAGCACTAATCTTTTAATACTGATGGAGAGCAACCATTTACTTCTACAATAATGGGATAGTGCTTTTTTCTCTCTAGAAGACGGGGTTACTCAAAAGATTTTTTTAATATGTATTTTTTTTTTCCTATTCTGATTTTGTGTTGTCTATATTTGAATTGGGATTCTACTTGTTGCAAGTTACTTGACTGTTCTTGCTTTGCTGTTAACTATAATGCAGTTGTAATATTCGTATATAATTTGCCAGTTTGGAATTTTTATTTTATTTTATTCCTCATACTTCTGCACCAGCTGTAAGCCAGCTGTAACTCTGGATTAGTATAAAATGTCTGTGCAGATGTTGTGTAACTGATTAATCTGTTTTGAAGTTACCTTGCAGAAATTCACACAGACATATTCCAGACCTCCCTTTTTCTGTCTCCTGCATCACACTTCATCCTCATTTCCTTCATATCATCTATTTTTATGAATCAGATGACACCAAAATATCCCTAACTGGTCAATTAGGGATCCATAATCAAGTGCTACATTTTCCTCCTTCAATCACTTATTTTTGCTTATTTTAAGTAAACAAGTGAGGATTCAGGAATGCCTGCAGGTAATTTCTTTGTCCAAAATTCTGTGTATCCACGCCCACCCTATTATTTGAGTGTCCCATACAACTATCACAATCTTCGTTGCTTGATTTATGTGTGTATTTTATTTTTGAATCATGCTTGGTGAGTGGTGTCTTTGATTTCATTAATTCTTTATTTTTAATAATATTTTTTGTCTTTGCGAACTGATCTAGAAGGATCTTAGTTATTATTTAGAGTTTCAGAGCTTTTCCTGAAGATTGTCTGACACACAAAGAGGAAAGGACTGTCATTGCCATTACTAGGGTACTAATCAGCAAAGTTTACAATCATCATTTAGCTTCACGAAGAACAACAGCAGGGGAAATCAGTTTAAATAATTATATGCTGTGTATAGCACAGAAATGAGATTTTCACTTAATTAAACAAGAAATGGGGAGGGAGAAGGGGAGCTGTCATTAAAGACCACCATATTACGTGTGAATTCCAAGCTTTGTAATTTTCCTCGTTTCTCATCCATATTGTATCAATTTGTTAATTCAGTTAGATCCTAGTGTTTAGTATGATTTGTGCTCCTTATTTATTTAGCTATTTGGGTTTAAAGTAGCTTTTTTTTTTTTGAAAAAAAAAAGAGGAAACATGATAATTTTGTAGCATGACACATTTTTGTAAGCCATCTTCTGACTGTTACAGCGACTCTGCTACCTCTGTCAATCTGTTTCTTTTCCTTAACAGGTTTTCTACAGTGTTTCAGTCTAATGTACCTTAGACAATAAAGGTTCCATAATGAGCAGTGCAGATGGTGTCTGAGACATTGCTCTCCGTTTCTCCTTTCATTTCGCTTTTCCAATAGAGAAACAGGCGTCTCAGCCATATGAATCTTCCTCCTCTCTTGTCCCTATGTGAAATGGAATAATGTCATCTTTCAAAGCTGCTACATTTGTTCTCATTTCTATATCCCTGAGAATGTTTCTATCACAATTGTATTACCTGGGGGGGTGGGTATAGCTTTGCAGATTTCGATTTTAGTTTTGTAACCACCCCAAGAGCGTATTTCCATTGTTTTTTTTTTAAGTTAGGGATAAAATATGTACGTTATTATAATTTCAGCAAGATGCCATTTTAATAGGCAGAACATCAAAGTTTTATGAACAGGTTGCCACAAATCTTAGATAACAGTTTTTTTTTCTTTTTTTGCGTGTCCAGAGCCCTCAGTTCATGGTGACATGAGTTTACCATACGTGAAAAGGAAGATGGATCAGTTTCCCAGAGGAAATATAACTGTAAACATGATTTAGGAAAGGAAATGAGAAAGCTGAACCAAGCCTTTAAACCGTTATGTAACTGAACTACAGTATTTTTCGTATTCTAATAAAAATAGTAAATATTAACATTTTATTGAATCTAGAAAGGATATGGAGAAATATTTATGCAGCAGAACTGCAGGCAGATATTACTCCAATTTGGGGAGAGGGAAATTTTGAACAATGTGTAAGATTCAACCCTCAGAGAACCTCCTTAAATATATTTTTTCAAATAGCACAGATTCAAAAAATAATAATTTGTCAATATACATTTTTTNTGAGTTTCTGAGATGTGCTCATGGCTTATGTTTTTCACCACAAAGACAGCTTGCCAAGCATGAATTAGATTGTCTTGGTAGTGTTATCAACCATGTGGTTTGGGGAATCCAAGCGGAGTAGTCCTGAAATTCAGTTCCCACACAGTTCTTGAACTGGATAAGGCAATCCTTTGAAATGATATTAATGTGAATTAATTCTGCCGGTCACCATGTTTTTGCTTTATTTGGTTTTAGAAGATCACGAGGGATTCCGTAGCACTGTAATCTTTACTCAGGCTGACGCTTTCAGAACAATTCAATTATCTCCTGAATAGCTTTGTTGGTTAGAAAGAAACTGAAGACAGCTTTTCTAACTTTGTAGTTAGCTGAACTTTGAAGAGTTTCAAGTAACGTTAGTTGCTGTTCCTCTGCCCTTTGGGGAATATTCAGACATTTGATATAAAACTAGTGTTTGAAACTCTTTCCATCAAGTTTAAGAACATGTAATTCAATCACTGATTTGAAGGTGTTTAATTTCCACCCAGTTACAATGACTTCAGTTAACCGGCATCTTCATTATCAGTGAAACTTTACTATTTCCTTAGCTGCAACCTGTAATGGCTACAGTTCATCTCTTTTTCCATGTAACAGGGAAACCTTCCCTGAAATTTTTCTTTTTTAAAGCTTTCCACTCTCTGATTTCATTAGCATTTTCTTTATGATAATGGGAACCTCATACAAGATAATTGCATTTTCTAATTTAGCATTGGGAGCTCTGCTCCAGCCACAGTAATACAAGTACATGAGAATAGAATCCGTGGCTTTTGGCTATGGCCACCTTTTACGGTGCAGCCCCCACAGGGAGTTCTTCTCCTTTGTTTGGGCTTAGAGAAGAGTTCTCATTTCCTCCCATTTACTATCACAGCCTCTGGCCTTATCTTTCAGATGTTGTGGGACAGTGATAACTTCTTTCATGTTTTGGCTGCTTCTAAGTGAGCCTCCTCTGGGAGTGAATTACAGCTGGAACTGTGATGTGCTCCTTCCTTGGAAATATCTGATTAGGAAGGCTTTTCCCCATAAATACTTTAATTACAACCTCAAGCCAAGGTTGTTGGGTTTTTTTTTGCTCCATTTCCATCTCTTTTCCCATTCTTCTTTTTTCCTATCATTCCTACCCAGGCAGACNGGTACACTTATTCAGAAATATTCTTAGATCCAAGCCTACTGTACCTCCCATGTACTCAGCCATTCACTAATATAATTATGAAAAATGGGGAAATTAAAAGGTGGTCAATGTAAAGGGGGGAGGGGGAAACCCTGTAAGATGCCAACTTACTGAAAGTCATTGATCAAGTCTGCAGTAATAGATTAGAGTGTATTCCTAGTAAGGAATATTTACAAGTCAGTCCAAATGCTACTATAGATGAGAAGCCATAGCAAAGGTACAGTTGAGCCTTCTAACCAAGTTTCAAATCCATTGCTAGATGCAATTCCACATCAAACAGGAACTATGCAAACTTAGTACATCCTTTCTCAACCTAATGCTTTCTGTTCCCCAAAATGTTCATCTGTGTGACTGAAAATCACATGCTGTTGGGAATGCAGAAGGCAGAAATTTAACACATGTACATGGCATCAGGTTGGGCCAGATGATTTGCTGAGAGAATTCATTTACTAAGTATAAATGGGAATTAGAGAAATTAATTGATTTCAGTTTTGAAGAGATGAACAAACACTGGATTGAGAACACAGCTACACAAAGCCTTTCACTGAAGGATTCCCCGCCCCCCCCCAAGACTACACACACCATTAAAACACTTGCTCCTTACCAAAGGTTTGACGTAGATGAGCCATGTCAAAGCAATTACTTCAATTGACAGCTCCAAAGTTATATATCTTTAGGTGTAATTCTTTGCTCCTTTGAAGCAATTCTGCAAAGAGGCAGTGGCTTGTACAAACTTAAAGGGGAGTATATAGGAGGAAATGTAGTTTTAGAGTTTAGCCAGCTTATTGGCTGATCTCCAAAAAAGGCTTAAGCCAAATGAGATCTGATTCGTATACAGATATCTTGAAGAAATCCTGGTGTAGGTTAGACAAGGACGATTAAAAAATAAAATCTGAGAAAAGGCCATGCCAAATCACTTCTCTGTTGCCTGCAAATAAACTACATGGATATTTCTATGAAGTCACCAGGAGTGGAGCTTGACTCTAAACAGCCTTTTAACTGGTAGCTTTACTGGACACTGATTGGGAAAAAAAGTCTACAGAATTATACTTTCCTGTATATCATGAATAAGTATTGCAACAAATGTACAAAAAACATTCGTAATATTCCAAAAGCAAATATTTTCAACCATAAGGATGCTTCTAATGATGAAAAAGCACATCTCGCCTACAAGACTTGTACTAACCTTTGAACTGGATTTTTTTCCCCAGTTCCATATTCTTTTTCACAACAGGATCTTTTTGCTATCTCTAGAATAAAACTATTCCTTGCTCACATTCATTTTTAATCAAGATATAAATTGAATTTAAAATAATGAATGTGGATGTGTTAATGCCATGAATTGGGGCACTGTCCCCTTATTTCTATTGATCTTTCTTGTGCGTCTTAAATGAGAGACCCCATTCAGATTCTAGAATAGGTGGTCATTTTTTTTCCTATCAAAGGCTGCAGTCCTGCACAAACTATCTATTATTAATGGTAGATACGTAAGTGTGTGCATATTTTGAAAATTATGTAGAAATAGTACTTCACTCCTTGCACCAAGTGGCTTCGAGAAAATTGCCAAAATTGTTATTTTTTTTTCCTAGGCAGAATGGTCAAATCAGAAACAGTTCTGATTTTATTTATTTTTTTAAAATATGCACAGACCTGTAACAAATTATTGGAAACACAGTGAGGTCAAAAAGTAGGTGAGGGCAATACATTTTCTTTCTGAGATCCTCTTTTTTGATATCTTTTTTCCCCATTCAGCCTCATAAAATAGGATGCGAGGGAGGGACAAATAACTGTCCAAATTGCTGGATTAATTGACTGCAAAGTGCTTTACAATTAGGCTACCAGCCTCCAGATGTTTCTTCCTGTTTTAGATGAATCTGTGTTGCTGAGTTTCCAACCATTGGCACAACAAAACTCTGGATCAGTTTGATAGGAACTGGCTCTTAGGACAATAATTTGATGGTGGAGGGAAGCCTTCTAGATGGAATAGAACAGGACTGCCAAAATCCCGGCCCATGGGCCAGATATGTTACGCGCTGGCCATGCCCACACCCGGTTTAACAAAGGAGGGGGAAATCCCAATACCTCACATGATGCCGCTGTGATGACGTGAGTTTGACACCCCTGGAATAGAAGCATTTTAACAGAGCAGAGCTGGCTGGAGAATTCTGGGAATTGAAGTCCACAAGTCTTAAAGTTGCCAAGTTTGGGAACCACTGGCTTAGGGCAATATTTAAATTAAACAGATCCATTCATTGAGGAGCATAGTTATCAAAGGAGAAAAATCACACCACAACCCCCAAGCGGATATTATGAGGCAGATATTTATTTATAATATTTCAGTTCTTTTCTCCTCAATTCATTTATGAAAATCTGAAGGCCAAATTTTTCTTACCTGTCCCACAATCTGTTATGGCAACCAATAGGAGCTTAGCGGAAGAAGAAACCATGATGCAAACTTGACTGTTGAAGAACAGGTTAGCAGATTTTGGCTACAAAATATGGAAGTCCACTGGATAACCAGAAAGAGATGCAAACTCAGAATTTGCAGCCAGTTTCCCGAAAGTCACTGACGTCGAACAACACATTTGGAGTGCACCAGCTTTGCGGCTCTTTAACTGATTATGGTTACATTTTTCACATGACGTATGTAAAAGGGGGATGGGGCTTTGATCACAAGCTTGTGGTTGCCACTTTATTTTTTTTTTACCCACTTTTGGATTCCACTTGGGTGATCAGGCATTTTTCTGAACTGTTTAGTGACCATAATAGGGACTTGGATGTAAGCGAAGTGGTCATTAAGTGAAACCATGATTGTGCTTATGAACTTGTTTCAGTTTTGCTTGGCTTTGCAAACTTGCAATAGTTGTAAATGTCAGGATTGATCCGAAAATTACTTTTTCATTTGTGCCTTATAATCAGCAATATCTTCCAATTGCTTTGAAAAGGAACTCTACTCGAAAACTATTTTCCAACTGGAAGACTTCTGATAGCTCTTTTACTAAGCCCTGAAGTTTTGGCAGCATTTT